TCTCCCTGCAATGTCTCTCTCTAATGTATCGCAATTGCCAGAGCAACAGTGTGTGTGTAAAAAGAACAGGAGGACTTGTGGCACCTTAGAGACTAACCAATTTATTTGAGCATGAGCTTTCGTGAGCTACAGCTCACTTCATCAGATGCAGGGAAGAGATGAATCATCTCCCAGCAACTCCAGGCTTTTTACCCCCTGCAGTGCTGCTAAAGAGGACAGCGCCTTCTCCACATTCAGGGGTCACTCTGTTTGTTGAGTTAGGCCTGGGAGCAGCCTCCTGGTACGGACTTGCATCCAGGCTCAGATAGCTGCTAGAATGTCTCTGTATCAGGGGCCAAATCTGAACCTCATGGCGCTTGGATACAGGCCCAGATTTATGAGTATTTGGATCCAGAGCACTGGTTCTGCCCATCACAGAGCTCAAACGTTGGGATTTGGTCCTGTCTTGAACAACAACACCTGTTCACCGCGGCTGGACCTAGCCACTTGTCTGACATGAGCCACTGAATGGCCACAGTAACAAAATTCAGGAGCTACTGAAATGCTGGATTCACACCATCAACCTGTGCCGCAATCAACCCCCTCTTGCCGCATTCAGGAGGGATTAATGGCTGCCTTTAGCCCCTCTGTAAAGCTGCCATAAAGCCCCCTTAGGAAATACCACAGCATAGAGGAGGCTTCCCCATAATAACACACAGAACCAGTGTGACTGGCTCTGGAGCACCCCCTCGAGGAGCCCCCAGGACATGTCTGCTACAGACTAGGGGGCAGGGGGCGTTGGCACAGGACGAAGTAGGTGTGGCCATGACTTTCCTACTCCAATCCCCAGCTATTTCCTTGGCTGTTACATCTTGCAGGCGTCACTTGAGTTGCTCTAAACTGTGCCAGGAGTGCTGTGAACCCCAGCAGCTCCAGGATAGGGTCGGCACTTTGTATTGCCTCCTGGTCCCTGCACTGGGCTCAGCATCAGCACACAGCTAACTGTAGGCCTGTCTCTTATGCACGATGAATATTTAACAGAGCCCTGAAGTCTGAGACCCTTGTGTATGTAAACTTGTATATTACACACGCTGGATTAGCTGTGAGATCTGCACGTGACTCTGTGTCCGACTCACTAAAGCGCTGTATCCGTTCATAGCAGGATGTCCCAATCTACTAGTGGGTATTCTCCCAGCAGACCACGAGGCTAAGCTTGCTGAAAAATTATTCATCGTTGATTGTGTTTTCTGCTCCACCACGATTTTGAATAGTTTGCATTTCCCAAGCAGCGTTCCTTGGAGAATCTCAAAATGCTGCCTGAACATGAATGAACTATGCCTCAAAACACCACTGTGAGGCAAGTATTATTCTCACTTTGCAGATGGGGAAACTGAGGTAATTGGCTAAAGCTCACACAGCAAGTCACTGGCACTAACAGCTGGGAATAGAATCCAGGTGTCTGAACGCTAATTAACAAAATCCTCACTGGCCTAGAAACATGTGTTGACTGATTGTGCAATTTTGCCGACTAGTGGCCAAAAGTCATAAATGCTCCTTCAAGTGAAAGTAGCAAGAGCCAAATTTTGGTGCCTGACTGGTATTGCTCACAATGGCTCCAGTTTTAGGGTGACCAGATCTCCTGATTTTATGGGGACAGCCCCAATTTTTTAATCTGTTTTTTATATACGCTCCTATTACCCCCCACCCCCGTCCCGATTTTTCACATTTGCTGTCTGGTCACCCTATCCAGTTTTGGCCTGTGGGTGGCCAAACTGATGTTAGTGAGGCCAGGACAGAGGTGGGCAAAGGTATTTTTATGTCAAGCACCTTAGCAAAATCATAAGAACATAGGAATGACCATACTGGGTCAGACCAAAGGTCCGTCTAGCCCAGTATCCTGTCTTCCGCCATTGGGCAATGCTAGGTGCCCCAGAGGGAATGAACAGAACAGGTCCTCATCAAGTGTTCTATCCCCTGTCACCCATTCCCAGCAATCTTCTAATGAGATATAGGTATTTCTCCATGTATTGGCTACTTGCTGGTGTATAATCTACAGAAAGTGCCATGTGCTAGGAAAGTGAGTTTCTGTCAGAAACTGGCAGGAGAGTTGAGAGTATATTTACCCACACTGGAAGTTGGCCAGGACACCAGGGTTAAAAATGGGGGAAAATTTTCATCCCTAGATCTCAAAGCACTTTAAAAAGGAGGCCAGTATCTTTATTCCAATGGGAAACTGAGGCACAAAGAAGTGGTGACTTGCCCAACCAGGGCCCTCATTCTCTTTCTTTCCATATGAGATCATTTCTGCCAAACTCACAACCCCCCAGTCCAAAATGAGTCACTGTAAGTGGCAATATATCTAGCATTTGCCCCCACTTGTTTAATGGTCTCATTCAAATGATGGTAATTTAGCGACTGTTTTAGTACTTCCTTAAAGGGAAGAGCACCCCCTGCTGGAACACCAACACCTCTGTGATCATAGAAGGTTTCCCATCCATATACAGAGCACACACTTCTCTGCTGAGCTGATATAAAATCTGTGACAAGTCTAGCCAAAGGGGAAATAGCTGCAAGCTAATAGCACCTCTGGAGCCCGTTATAAGTGGTCAGTAATAAAGCAAGCCTGTTCTCCGGAGTGACACTAGGATACATTTCCTAATGCTGCTTGGCAACTGATTCCAGTGTTATGTGTCTGCCAATGACTAGGAAAAAAATTCTGCCTAAAACAATTAGTGCTCAGGGACTAAACTTAATTTCCCTTTATCTGTCTCTTTCACAGCTAGCCTCAGATCACACTGGGTCCTACGTGAAGCAGAGGCCTTCGTACTTCCCGCCAAGATCATGAAAACTAGACTACCTCCACTGAGGGCCCTGGAGAATTGACGACTCCATGGAACTGCAGTGATCCCAGCTGGCTGTGTTAGCAGTGATCTCATGCTTGGAGGAACAGTACAAAGCTCAGTGAGTTAGGGCCCAGAGCCTCAAAGGTATTTAGATGGCTCACGGCTAATAGGAGTGAGGCACCTAAATACTTTTGTGAATCTGAGCCTAGGTGTGTATGTGTTTATTGTTATTCTATATCCTTTATTAGTTTGAGTTTATTTATGATCATGTCTAACTATTTATGTATCTTTGCATATGTAGAATGGGAAAGACATGCCAAGCCACAAAAAAGAATCCCTGGCCTGAAGTCAAAGGGTCCAGTCCTGCAGCCCCTATTCACAAGAAGTAGGCCACTGCCTTGACCCTGCAAGCTGCTCCATGCAAGCAGACACTTCAGCAGCCCTAGAGAACAGCTTTCAGAATCAGGTTCAGGGGGCTTCTCAAATAAGTAAGAACTGAAATAGGGGGCCCTCTGCATAGGCAGGCCCCTGTGAAGACCCAGTAAAGTCAATGGAGCCTTCTGGGATGCATGGAGGAGTTTGCAGAATCAGGGTCTGAAGCTATGTACCTACTTATTACACCCCATTATTTCTCCTTCTTTCTCTGTTGATTCATCTCTGTTGATTTCTTCACCTATCTGAGTCCTTAATGACCTGTTATTATTCTGTAGTATTCTTTATTATTATCATTTATTTATATAACCATAGCTATTTACTATTGTTCCTCATTTTCTCATCATCTCTCTTTATTACCATATATTGATTAGTCCTCATTATGCATCTTTCTCTGGCTTTACAGATGTGTCAGGCTCTGTTGATTTCAGCCCTGACTCTGCTCCCATTAGCCTTTATCTTTGTTAATTGAAAAGGAGGACTTGTGGCACCTTAGAGACTAACAAATTTATCTGAGCATAAGCTTTCCTGAGCTACAGCTCACTTCATGGGATGCATTCAGTCCTTTGTTAATTGGTATTCATCCCTCTGCTGATCGTTTATTCATTATTATTATTATAATAGGGCTGAACTGAGGCCTCTCAGCCCCGCCCCAGAGCCAGGGCCCCCTGCTGGCTCCCCAGCACCCTGGCAGTAGGTGAAGGGAGGGACTTAATCTGCTTTGTTTATCCCTTCCACGTGTTTCTCTCCATGTGGTTCCAAGGGGGCGTGGCTAAGCAGCCCGGAGTCAGTGATTGGTGCTGGGCATTCGGAAGGGGCGTGGTTAGGTTGGTACCCGCTCCCGGGCCAGGTTTAAATGGACTGGGAGGGGGGGCGTGAGGAGCGTAGCTGCTGTTCTCCCGGGGCTGTGAACCCAGGTAAGTACCCGTCGTGTAGGGTTTTGTGGCTCGGCTCGGGGGTTCGTAGCTGGGCTTGTCTGTGCCCAGTTCTGAGCTCCCCTGGGATCCTGGTCTTTTCCCTGCCCCACGGGCTAGAGATGGGAGATTGGGTGGGGAGGGGCAGTACCTGCCACGATGCCTCTGGCAGGAGGGTGGGGTGGTGACTTTCTTCCCAGACCTAGTCGTCAGCCTGGGCTATGAACAGGCTAAAGGGTGGCCTGACGCATCTTGTCATTGACTTCCTGAGTGAGGGACTGTTCCCTTCACCCCTCCCCTCTGTGAGCTCTGTTGTACTGGCAAGCCCAGCGCTCTGACAGGGGCCCTCCCCCAGTGATGCAGGTGCTGTGAATTGGGCTGAAGGGCAGTCACAGGAGGCTACTGTTCTTGCATGATCACTGGCTAGAAAGCACTCGGTGCTGGCTGCTTGGGAGCAGTTCAGAGGGACTGGTCTCTGCTCAGATGGGGCAGGGGGGGGATGATAAAACCTCCTCCAGGAGCTGTGTCTTGTAGCTAACAAAGCTAAAGCTTTGGCAGTCTGGTCAGTGACCACAAACTCTCCTAGCCAGTTGCCTCTGGTACCTATGTATGCGGGACCAGGAGTCTCCAAGCAACTCTACTTGCTCTACCTTCCCCCGTTCATTTAGAAACCTGGTCCCCGGTTAAACCTGTACTTGGCAATAAACCTGCATCCTTGCTAGTTTTGCGGTTGCTCTGTGTGGAGCAAAGCTGAGCATGGCCCAGGGGTGGGGGGAGGGGTTGTGTGGGGGCAGGGAGCCTGTCTTAAACCCCCTCTTTGTTATAGAAACCAGCACCATGGGAAAAGAGAAAATCCACATCAACATTGTGGTGATCGGCCATGTGGACTCTGGGAAATCGACTACTACTGGGCACCTCATCTACAAGTGTGGGGGCATTGACAAGAGAACCATTGAGAAGTTTGAGAAGGAGGCAGCTGAGGTTGGGGCAATGGTGCCAAGCAGACTGGCTCCGAAGTGCCTTTAACTCATTCTGTGGGGCTGTGTGGGGTTGCTGTCAGATGTGTGACTCAGTCACTGCATAAGTTGTGACTCTTAGAGCCATGAAATCCAAACCTCTGGGGTGGGGGTGGGGGGCGCCTGGAGAGCCAAGAGGCTGTTCATATGTTTGGGGTGCATTAGCACATCTGCCACTTCAAGGTCCTGTCTACACTAAGGAAGTTTGCGTCAGTTTCTCTATACTGACCTTACCCTAAGCGTGTCTCTAATAGTCCCTTTTGCAAGCCCCCTGCTCACCAAATTGTATAACTGTAGACTGGGGAGGGGTCTGACACCAATTGTTCCAGTTAATGGCAGTTCTAAAAGCCATGGGAATCCCACTTGCAAACAGCACCCCAGTTAAAGCAATCTTATGTTGAGGGGGAAATGGGAGCTGTTCCCTAGTGAGTACTTGTGCCCAGCCCTAAACACCTAGTGTAACTGGTGCCTCCTCCCACGCAGATGGGGAAGGGATCCTTCAAATATGCCTGGGTGCTGGATAAGCTGAAGGCCGAGCGGGAGCGTGGGATCACCATTGACATCTCCCTGTGGAAGTTTGAAACCACCAAGTACTACATCACCATCATTGATGCCCCTGGCCACAGAGACTTCATCAAGAACATGATCACCGGCACCTCTCAGGTACGGACTGGCCCTGCTCCGGGTGAAGGTGATGAGGTGCCTAAGCAGCTAGAACTGTGGCATGCTCTTATACTGTGTCCCCTCCCTACCCCAGGCTGACTGCGCAGTGCTGATTGTGGCAGCCGGGGTGGGAGAGTTTGAAGCTGGCATCTCTAAGAACGGGCAGACCCGGGAGCATGCCCTGCTGGCCTACACGCTGGGGGTGAAGCAACTCATCATTGGGGTGAACAAGATGGACTCCACGGAGCCCCCTTACAGCAGCAAGCGCTACCAGGAGATCACCAAGGAAGTGGGTGCCTACGTCAAGAAGATCGGCTACAACCCAGCCTCTGTGGCATTTGTGCCCATCTCTGGCTGGCATGGGGACAACATGTTGGAGGCCAGTGCCAAAGTAAGGAGCATGCTTCTTTCTGCATGCCTCGTGGAGGCCAGATCTGAGTGCTGGGTTGGAATGACGGGCTGGGGAAGCTGCACAGAACCTATGGGCATGGGGGAACCACGCTCTCAGCCAGGGCTCTAAGTGGAGCATGGGTAGGATCTGGGGGCTCACAGAGCTTTATTTCTTCAAGGTATGTTTTTCTCCCCCATACGTGGAGAGGCTGTTTAGCGCCAGGTGGGCACAAATGCCTCCTAGGAGATGCCTGGCACTCTCGGGCCCTGCCTAGCTTCAGTCTTGCCTCCTGTCTGTTTGTAGATGCCTTGGTTCAAAGGCTGGAAGATCACTAGGAAGGATGGGAATGCTGCAGGCACCACTCTAATGGAAGCTCTGGATTCCATTATTCCTCCTTCCCGCCCAATTAACAAGCCACTCCGTCTGCCCCTGCAGGATGTCTACAAGATCGGCGGTGAGCATGGGGGGGAGGAGCTTACTGGGCATGGTAGCCCCTTCTCTAGGCCACACGATGATGCCACTATCTCCATCCCGCAGGTATCGGAACGGTCCCCGTGGGCCGCGTGGAGACTGGCTTCATGAAGGCCGGCATGGTGGTGACTTTTGCCCCCACCAACATCACCACGGAGGTGAAGTCGGTGGAAATGCACCACGAGGCTCTGGCAGAGGCGCTGCCGGGTGACAACATTGGGTTCAACGTGAAGAACGTGTCTGTGAAAGACATCCGGCGTGGGAATGTGGCCGGAGACAGCAAGAACGACCCTCCCATGGAGGCCGGTAGCTTCACCTCTCAGGTCAGGGGTGCGAAAACAACGGGGCTGGTTGACTCCAAATCACTCCTTCCTGGGTGTAGGAGGCTGTACTTCATGCTAGGCCAGTCTTGCAAATAAGCAACGCTGTTTCCAACACTACTACTGTATATGCTAGTACAATTGCTCCAGCCACTCTGTTTGCATGGAGATGTCTGAGTGGACCGGGTGATCAGACAGCAAATGTGAAAAACTGGGATGGGGATGGGAGGGTAATAGGAGCCTATATAAGACCCTAAAATCGGGACAGCTGGTCATACTATGAGTGGAAGAGGACAAATGGCTCTCCCAGCCTGCACAAGAGTAATCCGTGCCATGCCCTTAGGTTAGGTCAAATTAGCAAATCTGGAGCTAATCCCCGTGAACGGAAAAGGGAAGGTGTGTTTTGTCTTGCCCTGCCCTGAAGGACCTGGTACCAGCAGCCACATAACCACTAGCTCTCCTCCTTCCTACCTAGGGTGACCAGATGTCCTGGTTTTTGTTTTTTTTTTAATAGGGACGGTCCTGATATTTGAGGCCATCTTATACAGGCTCCTATTAACCCACCCAGCCCCGTCCCAATTTTTCACAGTTGCTATCTAGTCACCCTATTCCCACCCCATCTCCATTTTGCCACTGTCATTGGTGCCATTAGTCATGTAGTGCCAGATGTTCATGGCAGGAGGCTTCTGAACAATAGCTGTCCACCCATAGCTGCTAAAAGTAGTTCCGAGAACCACCTGAAGTTAGCTAGAGTTATTATTGGCAACTGCACTCCCTCTAACACTGTTCTCTGCATGGTTGCTACCCCTAATGAACAGATTGCTTTGAGACAAACTCCCAGAGCGCTTGCTGTGACAGCCGGTCATGTTAGGAGCATACAGTAACGGTTCTTGTCTATTCCTCTCCAGTTGTAACAGATGGATTGTAACCTCTTAAGGACAGGGCCAAGCTTCTCACAGTTCAAGTTTGCTACCACTAGGCACTGTGCAATGTGGATATTTTTACTTTCAATCTCATCGGCTCTGGCAAGCTAGATGGTGCTTGCACCAACAGAACTAGGCCCACAAAAATCGAGCAACGGGACCAATTCACCTTAACTACACCAGATTCTAAGATGGCTTCTAAAAAGCTTAGTCCTTAGATTCCCTACATAGCCCTCACAACAGGGGTTCCCCAAGAACAAATGAGCAGGAGAACCTTCTGCTGCTCATCCAGGTTTCATAACCAACTCCTCCTTTGCAGGTCATCATCCTGAACCACCCAGGCAAGATAGCTGCTGGCTACGCCCCAGTGCTGGATTGCCACACTGCTCACATTGCCTGCAAGTTTGCAGAGCTGAAGGAGAAGATCGACCGCAGGTCTGGCAAGAAGCTGGAGGACAATCCTAAGGCCCTGAAGTCTGGAGATGCTGCCATTGTGCAGATGATTCCTGGCAAACCCATGTGTGTGGAGACCTTCTCAGACTACCCACCTCTTGGTAAGACTATAATGGATGGGATAAAGTAGGTACTGCCCTCTAGCACTGGTACATCTGCCTTCGAACCAGGTAACTAAATTGCTATGACCAATCTAGATCACAGGGCACTTACTCTTGCTAGTGTCTGTGCAGGGATCTGTGGTCCTGGCTCTGCAGGGAACAATAGTAGTCCGTACAAGTGCTGGCCTCTGACTTCATGGGAATCTATTAGAAGCCCAGCACAAACACAAGAACTAGGGGTCACTAAATGAAATTAATAGGCAGCAGGTTTAAAACAAACAAGAATGGACTTTTTCACACAATGCAGTCAACCTGTAAAACTTCTTGCCAGAAGATGTTGTGAAGGCCAAGACTATAACAGGATTCAAAAAAGAATAGGTCCATCAATGGCTATTGGCCAGGATGGGCAGGGATGGTGTCCCTAGCCTCTGTTTGCCAGAAGCTGGAAATGGGTGATTGGATGGATCATTTGATTGCCTGTTCTGACAGTGTCCAATGCCAGGTGCCCAGAGAGAATGAACAGAAGGCAGGATACTGGGCTAGATGGACCTTTGGTCTTAGCATATGCCCTCCAACCTAGGGCTAAATCATCAGAGGCTAGACTAGGCCCTGCTGTGGCTGTAAATTCCTTCAATTCCTGTCCCAGAGCTGAGTGCCACTGAGTTAGAGTAAGGAACTGTTGGCAACCTTTGCCCAAAAGAGCCTCATGGGCTGAATAGACAAAGGAAGACAACCACCTAACACTCCTCTCCTCCGACAGGTCGCTTTGCTGTTCGTGACATGAGACAGACGGTGGCGGTGGGTGTGATCAAGGGGGTCGAGAAGAAAGTCAGTGCAGCTGCCAAAGTCACCAAATCAGCTGTGAAAGCCAGTAAGAAATGAAGACCGGCACAATCACCGTCTGGACTTACTTGTACAGCACAGATTGCTGAGCCTTCAGCAAATGGCACTAGCAGGTGGGATGGGTCTGCCTGACCCCTTGCACTTTAACTTTTCTAACTGTCCTCACTGAATAAACTGCCCATTGGAAAAAGGACCATGGTTTGGTGTGTCTGTACCCACTTCCTCTGGGGTGAGCAGTCCACCCTCTTGGCTATGTCATGGGGGACCTCTCTAACCAATGCTGGCTCCTAACTACAAACAGTGCTGGGGGGGGGAACAATAGATCCCATCAATTTTCCCATGGAATAGCATTTTTTTTCTAGCCCCTGCACTGCCATTCAGCCAGCAAGTACAATGTCTTGGCTTTGGCCTTCTCACCCAGGAATACGTGGACCGCATGGTTCCAAGTGGCAGTTTGAAGGGGGCAGTTGCTGGGTGCTGGAGCTACCAGTAGCAGGGGCTCCATCGGAGGAGGGGCAGCATCACAGATGCTCACAAGCAGGACAAATGAGAGGTATAGCAGGAGGGGAGGGAAAGCCCAAAGCTGGGGAAACACCAGCAAGAGACCCTGAGCATCTCCTGGCATTGTGGGTTTGAATGGCTGAGTCCTCTCTGGAAAATCCTCAGAGGAGTCCACTTGCCTTTGAGGACATGTGAGGGGGTGTGGAAGTTAGGGTGAGGCACCCTCATTGCTAGTCATTACCACTCCAAGCTGGATGCTTAGCCAGGAGCCCCTAGCTGGCCCTTGTGATGGGAGGGAAGGGTCTGTGACTAGAGGAACTGATGCTAGCTTGTGAGCTTTCTCAATGGGGGTTTTCCAACAGGGAGGGATTAGCAGAAGATGGCCAAAGACTGGCAGTTTGATCCTTAGAACTGAGTTACTGTATGTACCGGTCACTCTCCTCTGGCAGAAGGTGGGTCTAGCTACTCACCTTAACAGAAGGTGAAGGGGTCACATGATCGGTCTAAGTATCTACTACATAGTCGTTCCTCCTGTCATGACCTCTTCCATCTAGCAGAGAAAGCTAGAACCCAATCCAAGGGCTGGAAGCTGAATCTAAACAAATTCAGACTGGAAGGTGTACGTCTCTAACAATGAGGGCAACTCGCCATTGGACCAACTTACCCCAACACTGACCATTTTTAAATCAAGATCTGCTTTTGGAATGATTTTGGGGCAGTTCTCTGGCCCATGTTATGCAGGAGTCAGACGAGAAGATCACCGTGGTCCCTTCTCGTCTTGGAAGCTATGAATCTGCTTGCAGCAAAAAAAAAAAAGGGGGGGGGCTTTTGGGGTGTCTAGATCTTCTACTGCTAGCTTAAAATGGTGCTCTTAAGGTTTTTTATGGCCTCTTTCCCTTTTGAGATACTTCCCTCATTCGTTGCCTCCTATCTTGGGTCACTCCAGCAGGAACAGAAATGGTTGCAACCTGCCTTTATTAAATGCCACACATCTTCACCACCCTGGGTGATACTGGCCCTTGCTAAGGAGCTCTCTAGTTCTGAGGCTCCGGGCCGTACTTGGAGCAAAGCCTCAATTGAAGTGGGGAGGGGGGTTAGACCCTTGCAGAGGGCCACTCTAGAGCTAGCAATTCTGGATTTTTGGGAGCCAGGTATCTGTAGCACTCCTCCTCGCAGAAACCTCATGACTAGGCCCCGGCAGAAGCAGACCTGGGAACAGAGATTCTATCCCCTTCACAAAAGGGAATGGGAGGAGCAGGCCAGCAAGGATCATCTACCCTCTGAAGTGTAGCCTATGCTTAAGTTAGCCTGGATACAGTGCCCTTGGGTGGGGAAATATCCATGGCACCCTGAACCCCCTAGTTCTGCTGATCTAACACCGGACACAGATGCAGGTTGACAGAATGCCTCCGTTGACCTAGCTATGATCACTCAAGCAAGTAGAGTTCCTACAGCAACAGAAAAACCCTTCTCTTGTTGTACTCTGGGTATGCTATGGGGCCATAGCTAAGCTGCTGTAGTGCTTCTAGTGTAGACACAGCCCCCTGAGCCTACCTGCGTGACTGCAAATCAGGTGAAGAACTCCCATGCCTGGGATGGGAACAACCCAGTCAACAGCTAGACTCTAAGGGGAAACGACTGCAGGCTGACTGCCAGCTAGCAGGGAGTAGCTGGCATGCTCAATAGTGAAGCATTGGTCTTAAACCTCTCCCACCTGTGGGTTTCTGAGGGGTAGACCAAATTTCCCTGTGTGCATGGGATAGCTTCTGTAACTGGTAGGGAGAGCTGCACCTACCTCAAGGCAGAACTTGCCTTATGTCTTCTAATCTGAAAGCCCTTCTGCTCCTAACTCTCTAGGGATGCTAGGTGAAAATGAGGACAGCCTGTGTTATCTTGAGGGTTACTCCTCTCTGGCATGAGGACACTTGCATAGGACATGTAGGCTTGTTCTGGGAACCAAATGCATGGAAAGGCTCTGGCTTGTTCTGTCCGATTTTGACTGTCCCTCTAACGATGAAATGGCCCCCCTGGGTGCTTTTCTTTCTGAGGCAGGAAGAAAATCAGGGCAATAAACTAGCTGGCTGATTGACTGAGAATTTGTTAATGACTCCAGAGACAAAGGTGGTAGCTGAGAATTAAAAAAGAAGTAATGCTAGTTGCAGCTGGTCTCTGACAAGAGCAAAGCCCAAGGAGGGTGGCCAAACGCAGCCCTGCTGGAACTGCATCAGTGGAGTTCCACCAAGGCTGTGGCTGGGCCCTGTCTGGACAGATGAGACCCCATGGCATGTGAGGGCTGAGATGTGCCCTCTGGCCAGGAAAGGGGCTGAATGAGTTCTTTGTGGATCTCAGCTGGAGAAGGTAAAAAGATGGTATGGCTCCGCTACCCTGCCTAGGTGGTGTATGACATGGCAGCAAGGAGGAATGAACTAGTATTAAAGAATGGAAGAGCAGGCACTCTTCATGATTCCCACAGGCAAGCAGCTGTGGCCGAGCCGGGAAGAAGGGAGGATGCCAGTAGTCATCCAACAATTACAGCAGAGCTGTAGCTCACAAAGGCTTATGCTCAAATAAATTTGTTAGTCTCTAAGGTGCCACAGGTCCTCCTTTTCTTTTTGCAGATCCCCTTGTAAGCTAGGGGTCCTCTTATGGGTCAGCATCCAAGCCCCACACTGCTTGGAGTCAAACTATGCCATTCAGAAGGCTACCAGGAGACCACAGGGTGATGGTGATTTTCTGCAAGCCACAATGCTCTGTCTTTCCACTGGATGTGGGGGGCATTTATCTGCCTGACTTGCGCCTCTAAGGTCTTGTCCCCCTTCTGACCATCTGATGGTTTTGCTACGTGCACCTGCCCACCTGTACAGCTCACACTGAAATGTTTAACAATGATCCCAAAGCACCCCTGTATGGTGGACTTGGCCTGTCCCCTAGCCTGTTGTCTGGGCCAGGTCACGTGATCGTTTTCTGTAACGTTGCTATCAGGGGGCAGCATGTGAGAGCTGCCTGGGTTTGAAGGCGGCTTTGTATCTCTGCTCCCCCTAGCCAGGACAGAAAGCCATTTCCCCAACAGCATAGAGACTGAGGCCGCACATTTGGAACCCAGGAGCTCCTTGAGGTCTAGGTCCTGTTCTGCCACTGCCTTGCGGCGTGACCTTGAGCAAGTCTCTTCACCTCTCTAGCTGGCTGGGCCGCAGTCTCTAAAGCGGGGCTAATAATGTATCTCTGTCCCAGGCTGCTGGGAGGATTCCCCGGCTAATGTCTGTACAGCTCTTTAAAGATAAGTACGATGGAAATGCTAATCGCTGCCATGAGCGGGATGCAGTGAGGCGTTTCGCTTGCTGGCTGCTTTGGGTTCCCTCTGCCCATTTCCTAAGAGGAAAGTGAAATGAGCACATTGCTTCTTAGCCCTGCATTTTTTTTTATGACTAAGGGCAGCATCCCTCTCTCCTGCCATCAGAGGTGGCTGAGGGGGGGATCGGAACAGAAGCACCAGAGACTATATAGTATCGGGTGAGTTAGAACATCTGTGGTTTCTTTTCCCTCTAATTAGTCATTAGGGAAAAGAAACCTGGAATCACAATAAACACCTGGATTCTCTTTGAATCTCATAGGGTCCAAATGCAAGATGGCAGGCCCGACTCTAAGTGAAAGCTCTGCGCCCCTCAATGTTACGCCTGCCAAGAATAGTGGGGTTTGGAAGGGTCCTCAGAGGAAGGGCAGAGCCGGCAGAAGCAAAGAGCCGGGAGACACAGAGACGCCAGCCTGCGAGCCCTGTCCCCATTAGAAGCAGCAGAATCTTCAAACCTCAGGGCGAGGAAGCAGTGGACCCTAGACACTTTAGGCTCCCATGCTCTGGAGCCCTGGCACCCAGAGCAGATGGAAGGTGGAGTCGGACAAGCTCCACAGGGAAGTTGCAGGTCAGGGAATCTCCATTGGACCTGCACTGTTTGGAAAGGGCCGTTCAGAAACGCTCCAGGCTTCACCATTTTTCCGCTTGATGATCTCGCAGCATGTGGTGATGGAGCTAGATGACATGGGTTATTGTCCTCCCTCTCCCGACTCTTTGGGAGTTGGGTGAGTGAGTCGGCTGTGGGGCCCCAAATTAGGGGACCCGCACCTTTCCCATATTGGACTTTTAAAAGTGCACGCATTTGGCTGACTAAGAATAGCACCCGCACTTACACTAATTCAGCTAAAAGGTTTCCAGGCCAATGATCCTCAGGCTTCAGGGTATAAACTGCTCACCAGCTGAGGTCAGGAGGAAATTACCTTCAGTGGTAAAATACTGCACAATAGCTGAGTCCCATGGTAGGTGGGAATGGGGCAATGCTTTTCTGGAAGTATCTACTGTCAGAGACAGGGCTCTGGGTTAGATGTCCCCCACCCCCACAATATGGTAATCCCTACATTCCTGATGAATCCAACACTATGGGAGGAGAGTGTCCTATTACCTGAAAGCCATGGACCTTATCCTTGTCATTAGCAGTGTCCTGTAAGTGTGCGAGGCACTGCAGCTGCAATGAAGGTGGGTCTCAGCCATGCCAGCGTGGCTTCTCTTATGATTGGTCTGAATTAACAGAGGTGCAGCATCTCGCAGTACAAAACACACAAACCAGCCTTCTCTTACACTGAGATAAAGGCAGCTCTGACCCCCTTTACTCCAGCTGACCTCACAGATCTGATCTCGTTT